AATTCGGAGGGCGGAACGGATTAACCGGATTTACATTGAACCCTATGGGAGAATTTGCGTCGGGTTACGACCAACTTGGGATACGCCCAGAGTCGCAGAACAGATTAAGTTCGTATCCCGAGGTACCACTGTACTGTATATTCTATATAATTTGCTATTCCTGAGTTAATGAAAACTTGAAGTTTACACATACCCTTTGTAGCATGGATTCTGACCAGGCATATCCATTATGCTCTACTGCCCACTGAAGTATTGTTCTCATAAGGCATAACATCACATCGCACTGTAGAATATTAATCAGGCTTTCAAACAGAGGGCAGAATTGTGGTAATACAGGAGGTGGGAGTGCTGAAACAGAAATTAGCTGTTAATACATTGTAAAAGTTGTACAGGTAGATATTCACTATACTAGAAACATTTAAGAACTGATGTGGAACTTTTCAAATTAACAAAATAAATTAGTTTATTTTATTCTTAATAAAATCCTAACTATATCACCTGTATACATCCCTAGACATGTAAATAGCTCAGTAATATACAGTATTTCTTTTCAAGTACAGGCAGTCCTCAATTTATGACCATTCATTTAGCGACCATTTGAAGTTACAATGGCTCTGAAAAAAATGACTTATGACCGTCCTCACACTTACGACCATCACAGCATTCCCACAGTCACGTGATCAAAATTCTGGCACTTGGCAACCGCCATGTATTTACAACAGTTACAGTGCCCTGGGGTCACATGACTGCCATTTGCGACCTTCATAGCCGGCTTCTGACAAGCAAAATCAATGGGGAACCACTGATTCACTTAATGACACAGTGATTCGCAAAAAAAATACCATAAAATCGGTTGTGGTCATGTGATGCCTTGCTCAATTACCACACTGCTTAACAATGAATTTCCCTATTGTGGTCGTAAGTCAAGGACTACCTGTAAAATCTCCCAAAACAGATTTAGTTGCTTTTCAAATTGGCACATGGAGTTAATTTGCATGTGCAACAAAATATTTCTTGGCTCAAAATATAATTTTGTTGTGTTCAGTAACAACTGTGGATTTTTTGTAATATTTAAAAAAAAATCAGCCAAATTAAGAAAGGAACAGAATTCATGCATACTGACTGAAATTAGACAGAACCATTCATTCCTACTCAGTAACTCACTGAGTTTGAGAATGCTTACTCTCAGTTAAGTTATACTTGCCCAGCACTAATATCAAAGGTTGCATCCTATGCTATTTCAGTAAGTTTTGATGAATGAAATACCACTGGAGGGTAATACTCTGTGTCAAAGGGTCTGACAGAACTAATGGTATCTGTCATCAAAACATTAGAATAAAGGATCCAGAGATGAAAAATTAACTGTCACGCCATTCTGACCCATAATATTTAGTTCTATAAAGTCTTCTATATATTATGTTCTAATATTTCATTATTAGCATATACAAATTAAAACTGTATTTGCATAGGGATACCAAGCATGATATGTCAAGAACACCACAGATAATAGGATATGATTTTTTAAAAGTTTCATTTAAGGCAGGCACAAACTGTGAATCAACACAAACACTACTCACAATGTATGGTACCTAACAAATACTTCTTGAATTATTATTTGTTTGTATGTGCTTGAAACGATATGGGTGGATAGTCAAGCAGCTAGAAGATACATTATGTAGACAGTGACTACATTCAGTTTCGTGAATCCCAGGTTGGGCAAGTATAATCTGAAGAATGTATAGTAGGTTTTGCTGGTACAATTCACATAATAAACATAACAAGCTGTTACTGAATTTTGAAGCAGCCTAATATATCACGTATACAGACGTAGTAATGTAGATAACATGTAGGTATTTATGGCATACCCAGATGTTTGCTTTAATGGCAGCAGTATTTTTTTGATTGGGAAAAAAGGAAAATAGCTGTTTTAATTCACAATGTCTGTCCATCTAGCTTAAAGTCAATGTGATTTTCGAAAACTTCCCAACTTATTAAAAAAAATGGGGGCAACAAATATGGAGATACCAATACAAACTGAAAACATAGGTACCTGTGTCTTCCCGGTTTGGTCGTTTTAGTTTTCTTTGGGCTTCCTCTGCCTTAAAAAAATGAAAAGCATTCCAAATGCTGAAGACAACAGCACAATTTCTGGATGACTAATTTATTTCTTGACATTTATTTCAAGTTCCAATTTCTTATATTACCCGAGCGCAAAACAATTGTCTCTATTTTTCACAAATTTCACCTTTAGTCAAAGCTAACGTTTTGATTGCATTTCGTTCACATTTGTATCAGGGTACAACTAGATTTTTTACCACAAATAAACAACCTGAGGCCCCAAGGCTTCATGCAATCCCAAAAGCCTTCAGTACAGCCCCTGGAGGCCTTCAAGGGTTATCAAATTGTAATATTTAATGTGCAAGAGGGGGAAATAGCTAAACATAAGATTGTAGTGTAATTATGTTTCTAAAGCCAAAATTAATTTTTACCATTATCTTACCCACTGTTTTGGGGAGTTTGATCTTTGGCATGCTATAGTAAAATCAAATGCAGTCCTCAACCCTGAGAAAATTGTAACTCCTGTACAATCTTGCCATGGTACAACAATTCTGGCCAAGAACTACCTAGGCCCTTAATATTAAGCAGCTGTACCTTCCAGCTCCCCCAATACCACTTTCAAGACGATGATGGTGATTTGTAACAGAAATGAAATACAGCCCAATTCAATTACCAGATTCCAGATTGAACAATATCGCCACTGGCTTATGAATTTCTAAGAATCCTAAGCATTCTATGGGTTTTCCATACCAACTGTACCTTTTTTATTTAAAATTACTTCAATTACTGTTCTGAAAGATAATTCCAAAAGTTACATTAGCAGCAAGAAATCAAACTTAAAGAGGTTCCTAACTCATAACACTTGTGTTTTCAAAACCAGACAGATGCAGTCAAATATTTTTTTTTTGAGCTCAGTAAGCATCTGGTATATATTTCCTCTGCTCTGACATTAATAATTTTATTTGTTTATTTCTTTCCTCTTTCCTATATTTTATTACCTGTATCCTGTATGAATACCTCACCAATTCCCGTGTATTTCTTGCCCACATCTTACTTCCTTCAGACATTTGTAAACTCTATTCATGTTTCTCAATTATCTGTTTTGTCCTACTGTCACTGAGTCTGCCGTGTGAAGAATTTCTACCTCTAATTCCTTAATGAAACTACCCATGCAACATTTCTTTGTTTATTCACACTTAAACTACCATTTTTATTTCTTTCAAAGATGCCTTGTACAGTTATAAAGTCAATCTGAATTTATAATGCAGGCATTTATTTCAGAGTGCACTTATTACATTGCAATGTATTGGCTACAGAGAGAGTCCAAATATAGTTCATTACTTTAACTGTGTTCTGTGAGAACAAAGCTTCATAATTATATATAATATCACTACATTATGAATATTTTCATCTTGCATAATTACCTTAGACTGTTCTGCCCTTGAAAAATGGTAAAAATATAAATTGAAATCTTTAGTACATTCTGGCTTCAGTTCATATAAGCCTCTTCCTGTTAATCCTGGTTTCCTAAAAGATAATTGGAAATATACAATCAGCATTTTAATAACTAAATGACAACATTCTAAAGTAGTTCCATGAAACAGCAAGAACACTAAAACATAAATATGAAGGACATCTTACACTTTTAATTGGGTATTAGTAGTAGTGACAGCACAAAGCTTGATTGCCTACAAGCGCAGACTCTACTTTGGCAAAAATGAGACTGGGAGCCTATGTTTGACTGGAAAGATGGCTGAATGGCATCAGGTAAATAGGACTTTAGAGAGACCTTCCCTTTCACCTGAATCCTTATATTTGACTTCATATAGGTCATCAGCCCTTCAGTTCACCACCCCATAAGATGAATGTGTAGCTTCTTAACTGACAGATGTGTGAGTCTGAGATATGGTACACAGGCAACTGATACCATGGATATAGTCAAGCTACAAGTTGTAAAGGGTTCTTGTTGTTGCCTAAACAAACCCACAGAATAAAAACCCCATTTTCTTCTGAGATGCACTGCCCTGAAAACAACTATCAAGGTAGTTGCCCTTTGCCTTGCTTCTCCACTCAGCATTTTGCTCTTTGCGTTTGGGCAAAAAAATGACTTCTTCCTTCCTGTTGAGGCAAGACCACTCTTTGAAAGCAAGGAAATGGCTAAATCCACACTTATAAATTGCTCTTCATATGCTGTTTGGTGCATTTGGGAAGATGGAGTCTATCAGTTTGTCATTTTTGCAAAAACTAACGAGGAACACAATTTCTCTGCTAAAGTAACTTCTAATCCCCAAAGGCTTAAGCCACACTGTATTAGTTAGCCTTTAATGTGCAACATGTATTTTTGCTGTTAATATGACTACTTCCCTCAAAAGTTTTCTTTCCATGTATTATTTTTCATCAGAAAAAAAAATAGAAAGTTTGCTTTGTTAGTACTTTTAACAAAAAAAAATTCCCTCAAAACATGCAGAGAGAGAGAGAGAGAATGAATCTTACTTCTTACATTATCTCGAACAATTGTCAATTATTTTTATTTCCAAAATGTCTAGTCCACTTTTTATTAAAACAATTATAAAGTAGGATTTAAAAATGAAGTACAAAACAGCCCTAAACAGTATCTACTGGATGACAATATATACTATTTTACACATATAAAGAGGTTTATTGCAGGGGAGCCATTACTTGAAACAGGCAACTGCTTCAATCACGGTTTCCATTCCAGTCTCTTTGTTTTCCTATAAAATCAAAGGAAAAAATGTGCATTATTATATATGCATATATGTTTCAAGTATATTCCGTAAGGTAATAATCAGCTAGATCAATCTGGAAGTGTTAAACATTTAAGGGTCTTTAAGACTGTGCTATCTTAACATTAGTTATTGTAACTGAGGCACTATACTTTGCCAAAATTTTATGTACATTTCTATAATCTCACAACACTAATGCAAAATAATTTGAAATAATGACTTCCTTTATGTTTCTGAAAATTTGTTTCCCATATATCACCTTCCTGTTCATGATTATAGTAATAATGGTCACTGTGATTAAATTGCAATAAAATAGAGTACTCTGGATGGGTAGGAAAATTCAGCATATCTACTAATTTTTAGGAAGTATAAAATGATGCAGAAAGTATTTAATACCATCCATAAAGCCTGCTGGGAAATCATGTCCCATAAAAGCTTTTAATTGCCTGCTAACTGAAGAGATTTTCATCACCAATTCCCACATATTAGAAATCCCCCAAAGATCACCCACCAATTAAAAAAGAACAAGTGACAATATTTTTTAATAAGACTCACATCTTCTGGCAATGCTTTTACTAATTCGCTATGAGCCATGGGTCTGATGCTTAGCTGGTGAATAATCTCTCTTTTGATTTCATCTGTAGCATTAATCTGCCCAACTCCTGGAGTAAATCTCTCTCCTATAAAACAAATCAATAATTACAGCAAGCAATTCCATTTTATGCATATGCTGAACAGAAGCCATAGAACTGACTATTTTTTCTAGTACAACATTTAAAGGGATATACATATCGTCATATGACAAGATGTAGGGATTGTGTCATGATCATAAACACCCCCAAAATAATTTTATTATATCTAGGAGCACAAGAAATGAAGTAATTTGTACTTTCACTCTCTAACATTTGGAGTTGTAGGTACAGTAAATTAATGAATTAACATAAACAACCTGTATAAATAAGACTTCTAACTATAATTAGAACTAATTCATAAAACTAATCCATAAAATGTCAACTGAAAAAGCATAAACTCACCAACAATAATTATAATTAGGTATAACATTTCTTCAATAAGAGTATTATTTTGCTGAACCATATCCTGAAAGAAACAAGGACTAAAATGTATTAGGAATCATTTATGCATATTTCAACATTAATCTAAGATATAATATCTTGTAATCTATTTGTAATGCATTTCTTAAAGCTTTGAAACTAAGTCTTCAACAGCTCATAATGTACCTTATTGGTATTTTCAGAACTGAATCTTTTGCCATAATCAGGAGTACTAAATATCTGATAAAGTTCAAAGCGACACAGCATCATCATCAAAAAGTGGTTTGGATCCATCATAGATGCACCCGTCTAAAAAAAGAAAAATAAGTTTAGAGAAAGAGAACAGAATAATATAATCTTGTTTTGAAAACATTGTATTGTTGGCCACATTCATATATAAAATTTGTCTTCCTTTACAAATACAAATAGTTCACAAAACAGTTGCATATGAAGCAGCATGGGTCTTCATATTATAGCCCTCTGTAAATTTTTTAATTGTAATATTTATTTCAAGCACAAACAGCTTATTGAATATTTGTTTTTCAAAGTTTTGTATTTTTTTAAAACACTGGTTCTATCATTATATATTAATATATAACTTTTCCATAGCCCAAAAAGAGCAGGTACATTGAAAAAAAACAGTATAAAGAACTAATATAAATATTTGTTTTTGATATGAGTTTATGCACAGGCCAAGTCACAGAAAACATATGGACCTCCCTTCCAGGACCCCTGATTTGCCACTGAACTAGACAAGAAAAATATGCCCCTAAGCATAGACCATCAGAGTACTGGGAAGCATCAGATACCTAAACAGTATTTTTTCCCAAAGAAGTCAACTGATAAAATAATAAGGAAATCGTTTAACAAACTCTTTTAAAGAAGGCAATCATATTAGTGACATCTCAAGGCCTATCCAAACAGCAATATTACCTGGAGCATTACTATGTCTTTGTCAAACATTTCTCTTCTGCATTTTACATTATGATAGTAGTAGATCTGAAAGAGAAAGTTTTCAGAGTTTGATACATGTTTCAACTCAGTTCTCAAGTCTAGCTGCTACAACCATTTTGCACAGCATTTTGCTGACAAAATTGCTCAGATTCACCAAAAACCTGACTCCTCATGAACAAGATCGGACAAAGTGACTGAGGTAATCCTTGGACATGTAACCCAACAATCTTTTTGACCTGCAGACTCTAATAAAGTGGAAAGGCTGCTTTCTTGCATGACTCTCCCCATCTATGTTCTGCATATTTGACCCTCTAGACATCTTTGAGAAGTAGGTGGAGGCAGGTTTAGCTGGGCCCAGGAAATTGTCAGTGTCTCTCTGTGTGAGAGGATGATACCTGCAGCCCTGAAAGCAGCTGTGGTAGAACTGCTCTCTCCCTGGATCCAGCCATTTTTTGCAACTATTTTTTCCATCTCCAACCTTCACTAAAAAATTACTGAGAGGATCACAGGAATTCAGCTACAGACCGCAACAGGGGAAGTAGATTATCTAATCCTCTTTCAGTCACAATTCAGGGTTTGGCATGGGACAGAAATGGCACTGGTGGTACTGGTGGATAACTTTTATCAGGACCTAGACTCCCTACCCCTCCTGATACTCTTAGATCTGTCAACAACTTTTAGTACCATCAATCATGATATTTTTCTGGACCACTCTTGGGAGACTGGGAATAACCACCATTCTATAGTAGTTCTGTTCCTTCCTTGCAGGCAGTTCTGCTCAGTGGTGATTGGGGAGGTGGGATTATCTTGTGGCTTCTTCTTTGTGGGATGCCTCAGGGCTTGGTCTTTTCCCCTGTTATTTCAATCTACAGTGGGGCAAAAAAGTATTTAGTCAGCCACCAATTGTGCAAGTTCTCCCACTT